TTCCAGGATGAGGTCCGTCTTGTATTTGCAGACATACGTCGCTTCGTTAAATCCTTGCATCTTGAATGGTTTATCAACGCGATCAAACCATATTGCGTTTTTCAACACAAATTGCTGATTGATGACTAGACCCGTCGCACCGGAGTCTATCAAAATGTTCGCAGCAGCCCTTTTCGTGCCTCGTTGGACGGTTCCTTTTATCTCAATGGAGGGAGCATTCAACCGGTGAATCATCCCAACTTCCATTGTCTCGTCCTTTAATACATCATATCGGTTCCTCGAGGCAAAACGTCCTTCCGGTCTTTGAGCGGCTGCCCTCAAAGACCGGTTCCAAAATCCTCCTGTATCATCATTAGAGCTTGACCTTTATCTTCGTCGGTCATAGCCTCTAGCATTTCCTTGAGTCCTTCTTGAGAGAATTGCATTCTTGCGCGCATCGTTCCTCCTCTTCCTCGGCTTTTCCATCCTCCTCGGCCTCTTCCTGAATTCCCTGCTGTCGGACACTCCCGTGATAGATGCCCCGCCTTGTGACACTTGTAGCACAGTCCTTCTTTAATGTGCCTTTCACGCTCGGCTTGAGACATTCGTTGGAAACGCGGTTGGAACTTGACCGCGTCAACGTCCATTGGTTCTCCATAGTTGTAGGATTGCCATGTCATCGCCGTCGAGTACGTTTTCGGTATGTCGCTGAACTGCGATTGTACTTGGTCCGGGTATATCTTTCTTCCTTGGGAGTTGTCGTTCTTGAGCAGCTTCAGAATTCGTTGTGCGTCGACAGCGAGTTCTTGAATCCTCGGTAGCCCTGTACCTGGCGTTTTCTCTTCCAGTTCATCGCAGTCGATCCTAGATTCCAGGACCTTGACTCGTACATCCTTGTTCAAGCCGTCTTCAAACTTCTTGATCAATGAGCGGTTATCGTACCCTGAATTCTTGGCTAGGGAGTTGAACGCGCTGTCGCGCGTAAGAAGTGCAAGTCACTTTATAAGTGAAGAGACTTCCGCCTGGGTTCCTGAGCCTTATCAGAAAGCTGAGGACTATCCAGTTGAGTTCGGTCTTATAGATAAGAAGGAGACGAAGACGAGAGAGCAGAGGTGAGAGTATGAGAACTGATAGCTAGACGTGACGACTTGAAGAGATAAAACAGAACTATAAGACTGAATCCCACTAGGCAACGGTGCTAGGGCAATTCAGAATGAGGCAATTGACACGACGCAAGAACCCGAACTACGTTACATGAAAACGGACTGTTTATATACTAATCGAATGAGTCACTGTTGTTACGGAGATGAAGGCTGCGCTGCGAGGCTACGCTATGAGGCTATGTTGGAAATCGATGGCATCCTGGGTATCTTGACTACAAACACCTTCATCTAGCTACCATCCGATGGTAGAATCTTGTCACGTTGATGAACCACGCAGCCTCGTTCTCGGCGGCGATTTAGAATGACTCATGCAGTGACCATCCTATCTTCATCAGCCTGCATGACTCCTCAACCCTACACCCTGCACAGCTAATCTTCCCTGCCCGACAACAAGTCCTGTACGCTCGACAACGATTGCTGTACGCCCGACGGCAAATCATGTATGCTCGGCAACGAGTCCTGTACGCCCGACGATGAGTGCTGTGTTCCCGACAACGGGTGCTGTATGCCCGACGACGAGTGCTGTCCTCCTGACAACGGATGCTGTCCACCCAACGATGAGTGCTGTCCGCCCGACAACGAGTCTGAGTCTGACTCATCCTCTTCAAAGTTGTCTGATGTGAGTCGATCCGTCCAATGGGGATGCGGCCTAATGGGGAGATCGACCTCAGATCCAGATTTGTACATTGTCGAGTACTGAAGCAGTCCTGTGACCGGAAAGGGGTCGGGGTAATGTCCGCGGATATCGTCGTAAGGAAGTGTGAAGCGACGCATGCTCTGCTTAATGCCATTTGCAGCGTAGAGACGGACGTGACCGATGGGGTGGGTGCTCGTACGCAAGTCATGATGTGTACGTCCAAGATGGTCGGCAGGTACGAAAATGGGAATATAATGCCATGGATCTTCGGCAAGTGGGAGACCTTCACTCTTGAGAACCATAGAGAGCATGGCGTAGTGCTCGTAGGCGAAGTATCGGAAAAGCTTGGTGTGACCTCGGCGGAGTGAAGCGGGAGGAGCTAGAGTAGCAAGGA